CAAAGAACCTGACCTCCATTCTTCTTGAATTTTAGTCCTGCTCTTACAAACTCAAAGATTTGAAGGTGCTACTGAGTTGACTGTGAGTACTACATGTTGAGTATCCTTTATTCACAATATGTGGAAGCAGAAGTGTCTCAGATTTTTTTTTAATATTAGCAAATACATAATAAGAAATATTGGGGATTCAAACTTTCAATACAAAAGTCATTTATTTTTCATATACACCGATATAGATAGCCTAAAGAAATTTTATGCAATAATAGAATATTCCTAACTTTCCAATACACCACATCACATGAGGTTAAGCATAGAATTTCTACTTAGCAGCCAGTGCCTCGGCTCACTTGGCTAATCCCCCGTCTGCAGTGCTGGCACCCCAGGTTCTAGTCCCAGTTGGGGCTCCGGATTCTGTCCTGGTTGCTCCTCTTCCAGGCCAGCTCTCTGCTGTGGCCAGGGAGTGCAGTGGAGGATGGCCCAAGTGCTTGGGCCCTGCACCCGCATGGGAGACCAGGAAGAAGCATCTGGCTCCTGGCTTCGGATTGGCGCAGTGCACCGGCCGTAGTGGCCATTTGGGTGGTGAACCAACGGAAAAGGAAGATCTTTCTCTCTGTCTCTCTCTCTCACTGTTTTAACTCTGCCTGTCGCTGTGAGGTCTGCTACCCACAGGGCTCCGGGAAACCCAACCGTTCTTACCTTGGTGTCATGTAGGAACTCAAAAATCTTAAATTTTGGATCATTTCAGATTTCAGATTTTTCAGATTAGGGAATGCACAATCTGTACCACTGCCTGATAACTACTCTCTTTGATCATATCAAATTATTTTAAATAGATCAATCAAGATAAAGTCTGATTTTTCCAATTTTCTTCTGAATCTGTTACTTAAACTTCAGGTGGCTCATTCTGAAACCAGATAAATGGGGAAATTAGTGTACTAAGCCGTAACCCATGTTGGTGTCCTTGTGCGGCCTTGCTATTGATATACTGAAATGCCTGGTGGATTATCCCATTTGAGTTCCTATGCTTATTATATCATGTGTTCTCCCTGTTCTTACATTGTGTTGATTCATGTCTTTAATTCAGAAATGAAAATGGAATACAAAACTAAAATTGTGTGTCTGCCCTTTGACTCATTCTGAAGACCAAGAGAATGACAGAAAATGCAGCTGCTAATGGTTTTCAAGTCAAACATGTCAGATTTACAGCTGGGAAATTAATGGATAATTGTATAAGTATTCACTGTGTAATATTAAGCACAAAAAATTTCTTAAGACATATTTTTCAGTATTGATGCTCATCAGATTTAGTCACACTGTTTTCTATGATTGTCATATGGTAATCAGAACCCTAACTGAAAAATATCACCAATATTTTATTCTCACATAATAAAAGCCAGAAGTGTTTATTTCTTTCAATAACTTAAGTTGAAAACATCTTAAACTTTGGAAAATGTTCAACTAAAGTTAAGTTGACTCTTATCTACAGAAAGTTGACTATATTTTCATAGAAAAACTAAGTTCGATATGAAATGCCATGACTTGAGTCATTATGTGCAGCCTCCCAGGATGAACATTAGAATGAAGTTGGAAGATAACTGGAGGAAGTAGGATGCAAAACAGACACTCCAATATGGGATGCGAGCAACTCAACCACTGCATCCAATGCCCATCCCTGAAACCAATAATTTACTTTTAGAAAGCAGTATAAACATCTTATTTTGTTATGGGCTAATAAATATAAACAAAAATAGCTGAAGTAGTTGAAAATGGTAATCTTAAATAGTAAAACTAAAAATATGGAAGAAATTAGAGCAACAAGTGCTTTCATTAGACATTCTATAAAACAGCTGTACTTTTTTCCAACATCTCTTAATTTTATTCTAAAAATTGAATTTCACATGTGAAAGAATTCCATAAAATTATACCATCTTATATTCTAATGGCCTATACCTAACAGTCTTTATTTTCCATTTATCTGTTCTCATTCTTTTTGTTAATTCCATGTTGCCTAGACAAACTAGCTTCTTTAGTTGGCAATATTCTGTGTATATTATCACACATAGTAGTAAAAGGGAAGTAATACCATCCATGACACCACAGGAAGGGGACAAACAGAAGCTGTACTTTGGGACACCACCCTATGAATATCTTTTGTTAAGTGTAAATAAATATAGCCATGAGCAAAGTAAGAGTGAGTCCTGTGACATTTTCCAATGAAATGCCAAAACTGAACTTAGATTTGCAAAACTCCTGAACTTGCAGTTGTTGTTGTGAGTGAGAATAGTCAGTGTATTTTTCTGCCCTGTGTCTTTATTCTTTGTAAACTGGTTCACACCGAATAATAATAAATAAGAGAAAGTTATACTATCTTAGACTCATGAAATTAGAAATCAAGACTTTCTGAAGAATGTCTAATCTAGATGAGACATTGGGGAGAACTTTGTAATTCAATCACATGTTTCCTTTCCTTCCTTTCTTTAAAAAATATGTTTACGTTTGCTGCCTTGTTTACCAGCTAGAAAACTATTTTCTATATGACACTAACAAATGTTTTAAACAAAAGTGAATAAAAGTGGGAAATAAATATTACAATCCATGCATGTATAGATAATGCTTTCTTTGGAAGACCATTGGGATGCTTTCATAATTCAGAAGTGTGCATTAAAAAACCATGAAAAAAAAACCCTTGATTAGATCATATTGATGTTAAATTGTTAGTTATGGTAATGACAATGTGTTATAATTTATGAGTTAAAAAATTCTCAGTTACTCGGCAGTGCTAAGTAAATAATCAGCACCTCCATAAACACTGTGATCAACCTAACAGTTGACCTTTCCAAGTTGAGATTTCTAACAGGGCATGGAATAATGCATGTTTAGTCCAAACCAACAGGCTGCAGTAAAGACCTCATAAATAATAACATTTGAAGTTCTCCTCACAGAATAGAAAGAAAAATAAAGACTGTTGACTCTGGCAACAAGTAGTATATGCTTAACTAGTGATCTTTTGGGCAAGAGACAAGTGGAATTATAACTAAACATGCTGTATAATCAAAACCAATACAATATTCTTCATTGCTCTTTACATTTGGAACACTTCTCCAAGGGTATGATTTCCCACAAACAGAACAAAGTCATTGTTCCTTAGATTTTAAATGACATAATGGCCTTCGTCCCAAATAGGACTTTATATTTCTTTAAATTAAGAACTTCCAAGGGAGAAGCAATGAATTCCCATTAAAGATTAAGGGAAAAGAACAGTCCATTTAATACTTATTGCAAACCCAAAAGATGATGCCTTTTTCCCTTCTTAATGACTCAGGTAGGTAACAACCATTGTTAGATATCATCATTAGAGTAACTGACATGCATCACAAGAACTAATATATCACAGATCTCTATAAATCCTTATAGTATACACTGAAAGAGGCTAAAGCACAGCAAAAGACCAAGTTCATCTTAAGTTTTCAGCAAAAGGTATCCTCTGAAGATCTACAAAACTAACAAAATGTCCTCAAATGGCTCCTGAATTCTGAAAAATGGAAATGTTTGGAGACATTATTGTCAACTGGCTGCAGTAGGCGCCTGATTAAACTCCAAGACTGGGTCAGATAAGGTGATGCTTCCTTTGAGGAGCAGTGTTACTATGCACCCCTGCTGCCATTTAAACAATCTTCAGTCGGTGACTTTCCCTGGAGGACGCTACTGAGGATTCAAAAGGGGATGTAGGCTTCGTGTGGTCCCCTCCCACAGATTTGGTTGTTTGTACAAAATAACTGCCTTGCCAAAGGCCTCCCTCCCAAGGATTCTGATTTCCATTTATAGACATGTTGTTTAATTTTTTCAAGGATAAAATATTCATACTATTAAGAAAATATTTTAATCAAAGTAGCCTATAGTATATATAAAATAGCCATTTAATATTATATCTAGTAATATATAATATTATGATTCATTAGTGATAATAAGTGTCTTAGCACCTCAAAATATTCCAAAAAGTAGAATATTAAAATATTAATAGAATAAAACATTATTGAATCACAAAATGAAGAAATTCATCTAAAACTGAATCTCTACATATGTAATAAATTCATAAGTATATCATAAGTAGAAGTCAGATATTACTTGAATACTGATTTCCTTGAAAGGAGTTTAAAATTTAGAGAAAGTATGGAAAAAGGAAAACATGTACAATAGTTTATACCTCATCTATCTCAAATAACATGGATGTGGACAAAAAATTTTGAAAATTTGCATCTTTAAATAATATGATGTTATCATCTAAATATTTAATCCCAAATAAATAAATCATCAATAAAATAAAGTTTAAGTTTTCTTAATTTTTGGAACTGAATTACAAAAATTTAATGTTATACCTTCAATCCTTAGGGAAAAAATAACTCACAAAGAAAAATAAACAGATTTTATGAAGAAGTTAATTTAACTATCAGAAAGTATTATATCAGATTACACAAAAATACAGCTTCACTCACCAAACCTGGAACTGATTCCACCAAATTAACTCTCTATTTGGTCATTTATTCTCATCTTCAGCACCTCTTTATTGAAATGTGATTCAACTAGACTAATATTTACTTTCCATATTTGGACTCCGAATAAGTAGACACTATTTTCCTTGTTCTCAAAGAATTTCCAGTGCAATTAGGAAAAAACAATACTGTATATACTGAAGAACCATGGAAATGTTCAACTTACAGTAATTAGTATTATACAAAACTGAATCAACATGTAATAATGCTTTAGGTTATCATTTATCACAGAAAAGTGATACTTTTCCCCGGAAAAGAGCAGTAAATCCCACAATTGTGCATGGTATATAGTGTCTATTTTAGAGAATAATATTGTCTGCTTATTCATTTGTTCATTCATTCATTCAACAAATACTCACTGAGCATTACTTTTAAGCCAGATCCTCTTTCATGATCAGAATATAAAGCAGAAGTAAAACAAATAAAGATAAATACAAGATAAAGTCATACCTTCAAGGGAATAACATTCCAGACTTAGTAGTTTTCTCTTTTTTCTTATATTTAAGTCTTCATTCTCTCATTCTATCATCTGTTTGACAAACAGCCATTCTGAGTCATCATAGTAACAATACTCCTGGAAATAATAATTGGTAAAGTATTATATATATGAAACTAAAGATAATAAGACTCCTTCTTTAAAATTCATATTGTTACTGGAGCCGGCAGTGCCATGGCACACTAGGTTAATCCTCTGCCTGTGGCACAGGCATCCCATACGGGTGCCGGTGCTAGTCCTGGTTGCTCCTCTTCCAGTCCAGCTCTCCACTGTAACCTGGAACAGCAGTAGAGGATGACCCAAGTGCTTAGGCCCTTGCACCCGCATGGGAGACCAGGAAGAAGCTCCTGGCTCCTGGCTTCGGATTGGCACAGTTCCGGCCATTGCGGCCATTTGTGGGGTGAACCAACAGAAGGAAGACCTTTCTCTCTGTCTCTCCTTCTCACTGTAACTTTATCTGTCAAATAAATAAATAAAATTTTAAAAATAATTCATATTATCACTTTAATTTAGTTTAAAGTTGTGTCAATTTAAAGTACTCCAACTAATATAATAGATGTCCCAAAATATTATTAAATAAATTTCTACTGCTAAGAAATTTTAAAGCAAAGACAGATGACTGTGGTTTGTAATTCAGAGAAAGAAAAAAAGGAGAAGTATCATAAATAAACCTTAATGAATATATGATTTCCTTCAGTAAAATAGTGATTTTCTGAAAAATAAATAACACAATTCTATTACTCAGTAGATTGGTCCATGAGAGTTATTCCTGAAAATAAGTAGGAAATGTGGAACTGATTAAAATTTTCAGAAAACTACTAGAAAGAGTAAATTGTGAAGAAGTAAGTTTCATAATGAGTTTCCACAGGTGGTCCATGTTGTCCCCTGTAACTCTTGGGCCAGGCTGAAAAGTACTGTGCATTTTCATTTCCTACTCCTTCTTTCAATTTGGAAACTTAAGATTTTAAATGCTATAATGATATAAAATTACAAGGAGATAAAAAAGATTTTTCATAGCTGACATTAGGAAGTATATTATCATAAGTAATGAGATGCTTTCAGGAACTACAGATATATAGTCATTAAGATATAAACAGCAGGCCTCAGTTAATATATAAAATATACAAAATAGCTGAACTGTTCACAGCCAAAATAATTAGGATTCATGGTAAGCTCTTTATATATAGCATTTTGTGCCATTAAAAAAAAAGGCATTATGTATGCTGTGGGTATTACTATTACCAATAAAAATAATTATACATAAGATATCATGAGTCTGTTCATCAGAATTCAAAGTGTCAAATGTTATATGCAGATTTCAATGCTAAGTAAATTTAACTTCTACCTCAAACATTCCAAGTACTCACTATAATTAATGAATAGGCAATTTAACTTGGAATCTTTCTTCATTTCCCATTATTCTATTTATGTATATCTGAAAGCATCTCCTGAGTCAAGGAAAGGCTCCTCCCCATGGAAGATGACATTTTTCCAGAAGGAACACAACTCATCTTGTTCTTCGCTACAACCAATATTTATAGATTCTATTACAGAGGTACACTAGGAATACTTACTGGTGAACTATTGAATGCTTTACAATTAAAATCAGTAGTTGTCTCAAAGTTAAATATTATCATAGAATGAATTTCTGGAATGTAATCATAAATCTGGATTTTTATTATATAATTAAAATTATATTAGACAAGATCAGATATGTTCAGGGTGGTATGGCCGTAGCCTAAAATTATATTAGAAATGTATTATTAAAAAACCAGTCAGATTTTCACAATTTGACATCATGTACAGTAGTAGATTATTCCTGTGGTCACCAGATTGGACACTGGCCACACAAAATAGAAATTCACCTTCAACTGAGATTAGTAAGAAAGTGCATTATGTGTGTATGTATGCATGCAAGGTACATAAGAAGCTGCTACCATTACCAAGTAATTAAGGCTGTTTTCCACTCTAATAATAACTGATCAATGTAAAGTACTATATAATTTTTAACTACTAGAAATGAAGATTTTGGTTGATGGTGACAATGCAGTTTTAGGATACACTTCTACAAACTAAAACTTTCTACATAACTTAAACAACAGCTTTTAAAATATTTTAGATGTTGACAAAATTAATTTTTCCACTTATAATCGATTCTGTTTTTTAAGCACATATTGTGAAAAAATTCTGGTGGCAGATTTTGCATTATTCTTTTTTAAATGATTTATTTATTTATTTGAAAGAGTTACACAGAAAAAGAAGGAAAGGCAGAGAGAGAGGGAGAAAGAGGTCTTCCATCCAATGGTTCACTCCCCAATTGGCCTCAATGCCCAGAGCTGTGCCAATCTAAAGCCAGGAGCAAGGAGTTTCTTCCAGGTCTCCCACATGGGTGCAGGGGCCCAAGGACTTAGAACATCTTTGACTGATTTCCCAGGCCATAGCAGAGGTTTGGATGGGAAGTGGAGCAGCTGGGTCTTGAACCAGCACCCATATGGGATACTGGCATTGCAGGTGGCGGCTTTACCCGCTACGCCACAGAGCTGGCCCCTTGCACTATTCTAATTCATCCTTTTAAGATTTAACAAATTGTCTGCCGGCACCGCGGCTCACTAGACTAATCTTCCACGGGTTCTAGTCCTGGTCGGGGCACCGGATTCTGTCCCGGTTGCCCCTCTTCCAGGCCAGCTCTCTGCTGTGGCCCGGGAAGGCAGTGGAGGATGGCCCAAGTGCTTGGGCCCTGCACCCCATGGGAGACCAGGAGAAGCACCTGGCTCCTGGCTTCGGATCAGCGCGGTGCGCCGGCTGCAGCGCACCAGCCGTGGCGGCCATTGGAGGGTGAACCAATGGCAAAGGAAGACCTTTCTCTCTGTCTCTCTCTCTATCTACTCTGCCTGTCAAAAAAAAAAAAAAAAAAAAAATCTAAAATTGGAAAAAAAAAAAGATTTAACAAATTGTAAAAGTCGGATATTTGTTTGAAAGGTCTGTTGCAAGTATATAATTAAATAATTAACTAATGTAAATCTTAAAAATAATTTTGCAGGAGCCTCTGTTGTGCAATGGATAGCACATTGGACTTCTAGTGATGAAAAATAATTTTGCTTACTATTGGGAACAGTGAACACACCAATACATTCTAGAAAGATTAGGATTATAACATAATAGTTACATAGAACTTCAATTCAGATGAAAACTCCCTTTACTCTAATTGCCACTGATGTACAGGAAAAGTCCTATGGTTTTTACACTTTCCAGAAGACCTTTTTCAGTGACCATCAAATATCAAAGCAATAATGGAAAACTGATCTGCTAGTTCAGATTCTCCATGTAGAAATTTAGAGTTGTGAATTAATACACAGAGGGGCAGAGAAGTATTTTGAGACGGACCATATTATAGTCCCAGCGCCAAAAACTAGTCATGGTTTCTCTGAAGTAAGAGTTCTATAGGCATCTTGGCGTCAACTTTTCCTAAGGTCTTAGATTCCACAGTCAACAATATTCTCTCAATACATTTGAATTTCTTCTTGGCTTCTATTGCTTTTGACTACAAATACCTTATATGTAAAGATTCTATATGGTGTTTGTCATTTTACTCCTAACACTTAAGCATTTCTTATAACATTAAAATATTAAAATATTAACAAAGTAGAAATTTTTGTTATTAAAAATTAATATGAGGGTATTTCAAAATGTTCATGGAAAATAAAAGTAAAAGATACTGATTTTCATGCAAAATTTTTAAATTTATACGTATTTTCTTCATAATACAGTTCTTTTTTTTTTTTTTTTTTTTTTTTTTGACAGGCAGAGTGGACAGTGAGAGAGAGAGAGAGAGAGAAAGGTCTTCCTTTGCCGTTGGTTCACCCTCCAATGGCTGCCGCGGCTGGCGCACTGCGGCCGGCGCACCGCGCTGATCCAATGGCAGGAGCCAGGAGCCAGGTGCTTTTCCTGGTCTCCCATGGGGTGCAGGGCCCAAGCACTTGGGCCATCCTCCACGCCCTCCCTGGCCCCTGCAGAGAGCTGGGCCTGGAAGAGGGGGCAACCTTGACGATTCCGGTGCCCCGACCGGGACTAGAACCCAGTGTGCCAGCGCCGCTAGGCGGAGGATTAGCCTACTGAGCCGCGGCGCTGGCCGCATAATACAGTTCTGTAAACTTTATGTATATTCTTCATTCACATGGATTTCAAAAATGTTTATACCAAAATAAAGTTATCTTTTAATTCCATTTTCATGAAATTTTTGAAGTTCCTGCTCACATATATGGTATACTGAAAATTTTATGTATCAACACATGAATGTACAAAAATATCTTAACCAAGTTTACATTAATAATAAAGAGTCCAAAATTTGTGGTATTACAAAGAAGAGTAAATATGAAAATTCTTTAGGAAAAGTAATAAATAAACAAAAAAAGTATTCTAATAGGAATTTTTTATTGAGATTTATTTATTTATTTAAAAGTCAGAGCTACATAGAGAGAAGGACAGAGAGAAGAAAACAGAAGAGATCTTCGATCCACTCACTGGTTCACTCCTCAAATGGCTGCAAAGGCCAAAGCCAGGACGCAGGAGCTTCTTCCAGGTCTCCCATGTGGGTGTAGGGGCCCAAGCACTTGGCCATCTTCTACTGCTTTCCCAGGCACATCAGCAAGAAGCTGCATTGGAAGTAGAGAAGCTAGGACTCCAACCAATGCCCAAATTGATGCTAACACTACAGACAGAGGCTTAACCTCATATACCACAGCACCAACTCCCAATAGGAACTTTTGAAAGACATGAAAATTATAAATAGGTTTCCCCAAGAATTGAAAATGTTCTGTTTTGCAAAAAAAAAAAAAAAAAAAAAAGTTTTCTGGGTGGGTGTATGACCCAGTAGTTGACTCTGCTTGGGATGCTTGCATTCCATATTATAGTGCCTGGGTACAGGTACTAGCTGTGCTCCTGATTCCAGCTTCCTGTGAATATGGTCATAGGAGGCAGCAGGTGATGGACTTACTGCATAAATATAAAGAAGAAAAATATTCAGTATTGTATCAAACATAATTCATGTATTAAGGGATCAAATAAATAGATTTCCATATAACACAAAAAAGCACTTAAAAAAGTGAACATCCATATGTAACTTTTTTGAAACAGAAGCATTATTCTTAATGGTACAACATTATTATCGTTCATTATTAAAGTAAAGAGTTACTTGATATTTACAACTACTGCTTTAAATTGTTTGAAAATTACAATTCATGTGATTTAAAAAATGAAGTGGCAGGTAAAATTCTTAATATTGTAGTAATTGAGAATTTGAAGGCTTAGAAATGAAATAAAAAATTAAAACAAGAGTTCTTTTTTTTAATATTTTTTAATTTGACAGGTAGAGTTAGTGAGAGAGAGAGAGACAGAGAGAAAGGTCTTCTTTCCATTGGTTCACTCCCCAAATAGCCACCACGGCCGGCGCGCTGTGCCTATCCGAAACCAGGAGCCAGGCACTTCTTCCTTGTTTCCCATGCGGGTGCTGGGGCCCAAACACTTGGGCCATCCTCCACTGCCTTCCTGGGCCACAGCAGAGAGCTGGAGTGGAAGAGGAGCAACTGAACTAGAACCTGGTGCCCATATGGGATGCCAGCACTGCAGGCAGAGGATTACCCAAGTGAGCCACGGCACCAGCCCCCAAAACAAGAATTCTTTTTTTTTTTAGCTTTTATTTAATGAATATAAATTTCCAAAGTACAGCTTATGGATTACAATGGCTTCCCCCTCATAACTTCCCTCCCACCCGCAACCCTCCCCTCTCCCACTCCCCTTCCATTCACATCAAGATTCATTTTCAATTATCTTTATATACAGAAGATCAGTTTAGCATATATTAAGTAAAGCTTTCAACAGTTTGCACCCACACAGAAACACAAAGTGTAAAATACTGTTTGAGTACTAGTTATAGCATTAAAACACAAAGTGAAATATATTGTTTGAGTACTCGTTATAGCATTAAATCTCAATACACAGCACATTAAGGACAGAGATCCTACATGAGGAGTAAGTGCACAGTGACTCCTGTTGTTGATTTAACAAATTGGCACTCTTGTTTATGGCGTCAGTAATCACCCTAGGCTCTTGTCATGAGTTGCCAAGGCTATGTTAAGCCTTTTGAGTTTGCCGACTCGGATCATATTTAGACAAGGTCATAGTCAAAGTGGAAGTTCTCTCCTCCCTTCAGAGAAAGGTACCGCCTTCTTTGATGACCTGTTCTTTCCACTGGGATTTCATTTAGTGTTTTTTTTTTTTTTTTTTTTTTTTTTGCCAGAGTGTCTTGGCTTTCCATGCCTGAAATACTCTCATGGGCTTTTCAGCCGGATCCGAATGCCTTAAGGGCTGATTCTAAGGCCAGAGTGCTGGCAAAACAAGAATTCTTAAGACAATGTATTATAAAATCAAAATAATTCACTTACACAAATAATAACCAGTCATTGTTACAAAGTAAAAACTTTACTTAAGAATAAATCAATATAATTCTAAGAAAGAACATTAAAAATCACTTAAGTATTATAAAGAATGATTTGAATAAATGGAAATGAATGCTTCTCTTATATTATCAGATTCAGTATCATAAAGATTCAATTGTTCATTAGTTCATAAAATTAATATTTGCTCCTATAAAAAACATACTATTCTTAATTAAAAGTTCATTTGGAAAGAATTAGTATTTAAATATCTTCCTATCATATTAAAATGTATTATAAAGATCTTCTGGTAATAGTAATGAAACAGTGCAGTTCAAGCACTATAAGGATTGATAGATCAGGGGCTGGCACTGTGGCATAGCATGTAAAACTGCTACCTGCAGTGACAGTATCCCATATGGGTGCCGGTTTGAGTACCCACTGCTCCACTTCTGATCCAGTTCTCTGCTAATGGCTGGGAAAGCAGTATAGGATGTCCTAAGTCCTTGGGCCACTGCAACCATGTGGGAGAACAGGAAGAAGCTCCAGGTTCCTGGCTTCACATCAGCCCTGCTCTGGCCATTGTGGCCATTTGGGACTGATTCTGTTAAGGGAAGACTCCTCTCTCTGTCTCCCTCTGCCTCTAACTCTGCGTTTCAAATAAATAAATAAATCTTTAAAAAAAAAAAAAAAAGGATTGATAGACCAGTGGAGCACAAGAGATGCAAGAGATGTACAGAACAGAATCCTAATACACATGGAAAATGAATATACGATGAAATGTTTCAGAATACTTGGAGTTGCAAGTCAAAGAAACAGCTCAAATTGGTTGCTATGGTTTGAATGTTTGGGTGTTCACTTAGTTCAAATATTGAAAGAAGCCTAGGGGCTGGTGCCATGGCTCGCTTGGTTAATGCTCCCCACCTGTGGAGCCAGCATCTGGGTTCTAGTCCCAGTTGCTACTCTTCCAGTCCAGTTCTCTGCTGTAGCCCGGGAGGGCAGTGGAGGATGGCCCAAGTGCTTGGGCCCCTGCACCCGTATGGGAGACCAGGAAGAAGCACCTGGCTCCTGGCTTCAGATCGGCGCAGCACTGGCTGTGGCGGCCATTTGGGGAGTGAACTAACGGAAGGAAGACCTTTCTCTCTGTCTCTCTCTGTCTCTGTCTCTCTCTCTCTCTCTCTCTCTCTCATTGTCTATAACTCTACCTGTCAAATAAATAAATAAAGAAATAAACAAAAAGAAAGAAGCCTAATCCCCAATATTGTGGCACTGGGAGGTAGGCCTTTAGGAAATGATTAGGTCACAAGGGTAAGGTTCTCATTAATGGGATTAATGTCCTTGTAAAAGATTCCCCAGGGACCTGCCTTGTCCCTTTCCATTATCTGAGGACCCAACAAGAAGGCACCACATATAAACCAAGATATTGGCTCTCATCAGAAATCAGATCTGCTTGATTTTGAACTTCTCAGTATTCAGAACTGTAAGAAAAATGTTTCTACTTCTTAAAAGTTACCCAATCTGTGGTATTTTGTTATAGAAACCTGCATAGACTAAGATACTGGTTTATGTAAAAGGGGAACTTGATTGGCTAATAGAATCATATCATGCAAAGCAAAGACTTGCAGCTGTGTCAATAGAAAATAGAAATTCTTCTCTCTGTGACAGTCCCTAGGAACTGTACAGTACCTGACAGAGAAAACAAGCAACATGTATCTGTTAACTGAATGCACAGATAAAGGAACAGGCTGAGATACAGTGTCAAGAGTTGGGATGGGGAACACAGTATAAAGTAGAACTTGATTCTTAGTTTCAGACAATCATGAAGGTAGAAGTAGGATTGTGCCCCCAATTTTTTAAAAAAGATTTACTTGAAAGGCAGAGAGGGAGGGAGAGACACAGAAAGAAGTCTTTCACCCACTGGTTCATTCCCCAAATGGCCCCAATGGCCCAGGTCTGGGCCAGGCTGAAGGCAGGAGCCAGGAGCTTTTTCCTAATCTCCCACTTTGAGGAGGGGGACAAGGACTTGGACCATCTTCCACTGTTTTCCTAGCACATTATCAGGGAGCTAGATCACAAGTGGAAGAGTTGGGACCAGAACTGGTGCCCATATGGGATGCTGGCATCACAGGTGGCGGCTTTACCCACTATGGCACAGTGCTGTCCCTGTGCCCCAGATTTTTAATGAAGCACAAAACTAGTAGCAGAAGAGAAGAAAACAGTACCTAAACCTGGGTTAGTTTTTTTGGAAATAGAATTTAAGAAACAGTGTATAGTGGAGGAAACAAGTCTACAGGTACACAGGGTGAAAACAAGTTTATAAAGTGGCAGAAACAAAATACAGTTTGAAGAGAAAATCACATGTATGGAAGTAAATAAAAAACAAAAATATAAACCTAAAAAGTGAAATGCATGTTATCGAGAGGAAACAGATGTTTTAATAAGGGATATTCGAAAGAGCTAATATTTAAGGGCTGGTATTGTGGTTCTACTTCTGATCCAGCTCCCTGCTAGTGGATCTGAGAAAACAGCAGAATACAGCCCAAATACTTGGCCCATGTCATCCACGTGGGAAATCCAGATGGAGCTGCAGGCTCCTGGATTTGGCCTGATCCAGTCCTTGCCATTACGGGCACTGGGGAGTGAACCAGAAGATGGAAACAGAAACTGTCGTCTCTGTAACTCTGCCTCCAAAATGAATAAATAATTTTTTTAAAAAATCTAATACTTAATACATTCTTCCTATGTTCCAAAGAACCTGATACAAAAAATTTAGTAATCAAAAATAGTTCATCAGACTGACAGTGTTACTGTCTCCAGTTTATAGGTAATAAACTGAAACTCAGAGGGATAAGCAAGTTGTCCAAGAGCACATAGCTAATAAGCAAGATGTAAGCTTTGAATCTGACAGTCTGACCCCAGAGCCCATGCAGGAGTCAGGGACTCAATTTGTGTCTCTCATGTGGGCTGCAAGTACTTGATCCATCACCTGCTGCTTTCTGGGTTTTTGTTTGTTTATTTTGCTTTGTTTTGTTTTGTTTTTGCAGGAAGTTAGATTTGGAGGTGGAGCTGAGACTCAAACCAGGTCACTCAGATTTGAGATGCAGCCATCCCAAGCAGCATCTTAACCACTGTGCCTAATGCCTACTCAGCATCACTCATTTTGAAATCTCCTCACCATAACTGATGCAAGAAAGTATACGAAAATGGCTAGTCCATGCTTT